GGGGTTTGTTTTTTTTTTCTTTTTTAATATTTTTTTCCTTTTACTGCAAGACTTATTTTCCAGCATTTTGCTAAATTTTAGTTGAAGTATTTAATGATTAGGCCCTGTATCTGACTGCATTGCTCCTTACTCTTTGCTGTGATTATCAATTAAATGCCACCTGCAGATTTGGAAAAGCACTTCCGTAAACAACCAGTAAGTTATTTACGTGAATATCTGCTGCAGTTATTTAAGGAAAACCACAAATGTAGGTCCCTATAGCTGCAAAAGCTGCCTCTACAGGTTAACTAAGAGCCAAATAAGATATATATGTTCACGGCACAAAAGAGATATCAGCAGAATAAAGTCTGCATAGCCCTGTCTTTCTCTCTTAATGGGAGAAAATGCAAAGAGACAAGATGTTAAGAGAGGGGAAAACAAAAAAGAAAAATATGGCACATTTACTTGGTTTAATTTATTTATGATACAATATTGAACATTTAATGTAAAATTAAGTAGACTAAATGATTTATTAATTACAGAATAGAGAACATACTACTCTTGATTCATACATCTACATAATGTAAGTGTTATTATATATCAGTAAAACATTTTCTGTTGATATACTTCATGTATTCATCACACCAACATTTTTCTAAGTGCTATACATTATTAATGTAATGTATCGCTAATTACTGCAACACCAATTTTTCCTCTTTCGAACAGCCTCTTCAACTCATTTGTGTCAGGTCTTGCCAAATTAATTAGGATGCTGTGCATCCCATTATTTGACTGTATTCAGATTTCATGCTGCTGTACTTTGGTTGGAAAAAAGACATTGCCCTGTTTCTTAAATAGTTACCAGCAAACACCATTTCTACCTTTTTCTTTACTGTCCTTCTGTTGTACTGTCAATCTGTTGTTCATTTTGCTGGCCCGTCCAGCCCAAACCGCAACAACCTCCCAATTCACCCGGTTATACCACCAAATGCTGGCGACAGAGGCAAAGAACAAAGTGTTATTGCTGACTCATTAAAAAAGGTTACTGGCTGATGGAAACATAACATACCATGTACTATTTGGCTTTATCATGTGACCTTATTTAGTAAGTTATTAAAAACCTTACCTTAAATACCAGTTCTCCTATCAGTCCGTTCCATGACCCATCATCCTGAGGACTCCCATACTTGTGATCTGGTGCAACATAAATTTCATATTTAAAGCCGAGGTAAGTGGCCAAGGCTTCCAGCACGTCTATTGAGAAGCCCTGATACTTCTTCGGTTTTCCCAGAACATTTTCAGACACCATGACAAAGGGCTCTTCCTAAATAGAAAACAAAGGAGGCAACTGTTAGTAAAGAAATTACATGCCACATCTGGGTGCTGTTTTATTTTTTTTTTTTAAAGTAAAGGAGGAACTATTTAAATACCATTTATACAAAACTTTCGGAAAACACATTGTTAGTTGTGTCTCTTGCATTCTGCAAAATGCTATTTTGTCATGTATTTACTTCAACGGAGAAATTTTCTTCTCTACTATGTATTTCAGAAGTAAATCATCTGTTGTAACATTACAACTGTAATGCTTTTCAGTAGTGCCTTCTGTCCGCACTTATGCTCAGCAGGGCAGACATGCACTCATAAGTCTGTCCATAAATATGGAGGATTCTACAGTGCTGCCAGTTTCCACTGGCTTGGCAAACACTGTATCTGACAAACACAAGTACTAATCCATGCTGTAAGGAATGAAAAACGTGGCAAAATGGGTTGTACCACAGAAACACGCCTATCTCTTGTCCTTCTCCAATCTGAATCTGAATATAAATTAGTTGACTTTAAATAGTTCTATCCAAAGAGCATCCATTTCATTAGTTTCAGGAGAGTCAATTTTGGGACATAAGTTTGTCTATAAGAACAATTGGTGAATATTCATCAAAAAGATGACCATAATAAAGGACGCAAATAGATACTAAAAGTTGGAATTGGTTGTTAAGATTTCCAAACAATATGCTTTTCTTTTCCTTTTCCCCAGGATCTGTAATTGTTCTCTCCATTTTTGTTCTATTAATATTTCTAATAACATTCTCACAAAGAGATGATTTTTTTTGGTAACTTTAATTTCTTTTTTCCTGTGTTATTCTTCCTGTTGAGTATTTAATTTCTAGACATTCCCCTTCACATCTTTTTTAAAATAAAACACAAAAAGAGATCGTATTTCTGAGCACAAAAAATATATTTGCCATAGATAGATCTCACTTATGCTTGTTCTTTATTTCCTCTGAGAACACCTGTCTGATCTACCTAAGTAGATCAAAAGTATCAATTCCCCCCCAAAAACATGAAGGCATTGTAACTTAGGGTTGGTTTTTTTTCAAATATGCTACATTTCTTCATTTTAATTCTTTACATGGTGTTGTAATTTAATATGAGTTCATCAGAAACATCTTTTCTGAGGAGCAAAAAGTTAGTTTTGGCTTGTCACAGCTTGGCCATGACAGGCATATGAAATCACTTCCTGACCACTTCCTCCTAGTCTGCATAACACACAAGCATACAGATGAAACCAGAATTGATTTTCCACGGTATTTGTGGCCCAAACTTTAATTGTATCTCCAGAGGCATTTTGTTGGTGTTGATTTTTTTTTTTAATTATTATTATTCTACTACTCATCTCTGTCAATGACTTTGAAGCCAAAGTACTTTTCACAAATATTTCACTAATACTTCCCTAAATACTTTTAGTTTCTTAGTATGTCACTCTGTATGAACAGGTATCACTGAACTGCAGGCAGGATGTTCTTGGAATAAGAAAGCATCATTTGTAAATGCTTGAGTTAATATTCATGAGGATAGCCACACTAGGATGCTGCCAAAGAAGCAAGGATGCTGCCAAAGAAGCAGGGATGCAACCAGACTGTGCTTGTAGGATGTTGTTTTCTGACTGCAGGAAATCCAGAAGAAAAAAAAAAAAAACAAACACCAAAACCCTCAAAACCAAACCAAAACCCCAAACCAACCAAACAAAAAACCACCAGGAAAAAAAAAAGGCAGAAAGGTTGATGGTCTCAAGTTATTGTGTCCCGATTGTCAGATAGAACTTCTTTCTTCCAGATTTTCCAAGATCAAACAAATGGAATAAAAATGAAGGACAAGTGCAAGTGAATTTTTAAGTAGTTCTCCAGCACCTGGGTTCCAGAACATTGACAGAAGTGAGACTAAGTTGATGAAAGCCTCTCCTAAATGAAAACACAGAGTGAATTCAGCTTTACTGATCACTTGGATAAGATATTACCCACATACAGACTCAAAACTGCTGGAAAAAATTGTTTAAATGTTTCCACAAAAAATATAAATAACGTAATTTATCAATCTAAGCACATTATGCAAAAAATTCTAAAGGTTTGTGTGTACAAAGGTGTTTTAGAAGTTGATAATTTTCATATTAGAAAGGATTTATTCTTATCACTTCTAAGTTATTAGAAAATAGTTGCTCATAAACTGAATTTTTATTCAGTTAGTTAAAAAGCAATTGCTAATTGTACTGATTTAAAACACTGTTTAAAATGCAGTGTGTCACGACTAATTTCAGTCTTTTATTAAGCTATGTAATATTGTTTGCTGTTGAGAGATTTACAATCCCGCCAAACGTCTGGTGTGCTATACATTTAATGAAATACAAATAATCAAATAGCTTTATGCAAAGCAGCTAACACTTCCCAATTTCTGTTGAAGCCTGCAGCAGCAAAATATTTAATCATATTCTAAACAAAACAAAACACATCTTTAGCTATGTTTTTTTGTAATTGTTTGCATTTCTCAGAAGGCATTAACAAAGGACAAAAATATTTGTCTTGATGCCCCCCCAAATGCTGCAAGCTGAAACTATGCCGGTTGTCTTTTTGTACACTGGAAGGGTGTTATGGGAGGTCCTATGGAAAAAGACATATATTCCTACGACATTTGTGTTAAAATGATTGTCTCCACCCTTGAGAAAGCAGATGTTGTAGCAAGAAAATACACAAAATAAAACCAGTCAACACATTTCTCACCTACTGAACAGAAAAGTAATTAGAACAAAAAAATAAGCTCATAGAAAGTAGGTGTCAAAAATTCACAAGCTAACTAATGAGTTTGAAGGTGGCAAAACTCACCTGGATAATGAAGCTTCCATTCAACCCCAATAAATTCAAGAAAATCCTGATACACTTCTCTCTGAAGTAAGTGGTAATTCGCACTATATGAGCAGGTCTTTGTCAGAGAAGCCATACGATCACCATCCTTGGAGACATTCAAAACTCACCTCGACACAGTCCTCAACAACCTACTCTAACACTGGCCCTGCTTCACCCAGATGCCATCCAAAGGTCCCTTCAAACCTAAATTGTTCCAAGATGCAGTGAAGTGATCAAAGGCAGGCTGCTGTTCCTGCTTCTCCTTTTCTTTCACTTTTGGAGACACCTCTCTAGGGGACTGATGAGCCTCTGTGGGGCAAGAGCAGACTTCACAGCCTGTAAAGTCGGGGAAGTCTGGAAAAGCAAAGAAGTCATAACGTGCATGACCAAGGAGGAAAAGAAAAGGAAATGAATGGATTGCTGCCCCTTCACTTCTTGGTCTTGCGGATGATCTGCCTCATGTCTGATGAGCCCCATAGCCATCAGATATATTTAGTCGATGGCTTTACATCCAACCTCAATGGAGATCCTTTAAGAGAGGAGCTACTTTCCTTTTACTTTACCATCAATGTGCCTCCTTGTCAAGTGAACGCAGCACTACCAAGCCCGTGATAAGGACTCCTTCTCAAAATAGCTCTGTGGTTATCACTGCCTGGTTTCTTCATGGGATCTAAGCTCTGTTGCCCTGATACAGAGGAGGATGTGTTTAAGACTCGATGTGGATCAAAGGATTTTACAGTGTTGTGGGTTAACCCTGGTAGACAGCTAAGCACCACACAGCCAATACCACCTGCAGCAAAATGAAAGTCATCAGCAAACAGGTAAAATTGATCGTGGGTGAAGGTGTGCATATTGCTTTTTACAACTGTAAGAAGGGAAATTCTAGTTCCAAAGATGATTACCCCCTGAGCAACAGAAGCTGCAAAATGTTAGCACGTCTTCGGAAGGCTAAAGGCAGACCCTAAGTCAGGCAACATGGCATAAAAAAAAGGAAAGTGTTGGGAAAGACGACATGATAGCACAAGTACATTCAAGAAGCAGCTCACAAAAACACTCGTCTCCATTCATTTACTTATTATCACTAGGTTTAATAAAACTTTTTAAGGAAGAAGCTACACATTAAGACTCACATAGGTTATCAACATGCTACACATTAAGACTGATATAATTTAAAATCCTCCTCCCATCAGAGCAACTAGCTACTTTCTTATGCAATAGCTCTGGTGATGCTTGGTTCCCTTATTAAGAGTAATTCTACTACTCAGCCATCACAAATATACTCAGTTTTTGTCAGGTGAGTTGATCTGATTGCCAGGGGTCCAGACAACTGCCAGAGCCTGTTGCGATGGGGGAAGACATGGACACTCAATATGAGCAATCAGCAAGCTTCGTTTATCGAATAGCACAACTGTCTTTTATAATTAGCTAATACATACATGTTTCCATAATACAGCATTCTGATTGGTTCATCACTCCAGCCCTTAGCTCCTTATTTGCGGTTAGTTACCTCTTCTTCTCCCATGCAGCTTCTCCCTCTTTTCCCATGCCTGAGCGATCACAGGCTTCTCATTACCGTGTAGCCCCTGCAGTCAGGGTTAGGGTGGCCTCGCCAATTTAGCAATCACAGGAGCTGAGTCCGATGTTTCCCAAGCTCCTGCTCGGCCAGCTGGATCATATCTATGTTCCCCTTCTCAGCTAGCCAATTTCCCACAAGAGCCAGGACAAGTGATGGAGTAAGACTGCACAAGCAGAAGTGAGGAAGTTCCAAGAATGTGCCCTTTTGGTATCAGGGGATGGTTCAACAGCTCAGACACCTTATCCAAATCTATCTTCAGATGTGCAACACAATATTATTTGAGCACATTTCACAAATTAGGGTTTATCACTGAAATACTTGGTTGAGTAAGAAGAGTTATCACCACCATTTTCTATATGGAGAACTGAAACGCACAGATTTCATGACTTGTACAGATGAGAACTGAATCCAAGTGTGCTGGGTCAGGGATAAACGCCTTAACCATAGACTGCATTCCCTCTATCTTATTTTAATGCTTCAAAATATTTGTACTTACATATGTATCTGTGTTCTGATGAACCGTAAGTGTAAGAGCAGGGAAACCACTAGAGGAAAGCACGCATTAGATGAGAACAA